GGGTTCAGGTTTACAGTTGGCATGAGACAAGACTGGTGGTAGCGCTTACCTCGTCTTCTCCGAACAAGCTGTTTTCCAGATGTCCCATTCAATCGGAAAGGGGATTCATCAGAGAAAATGACTTTCCCCCAGTCCTCAGCAGTCCACTCCCTGGACCTTTAGCAGAATATCAGTCTGTCCCTGATGTTTTTCCTGGAGAGAAGTGGCTTCTTTGCTGTCTTTCTTAAGACCAGGCCTTGCTCCAAGAGTCTCCGCCTCACAGTGCAGATGCACTCACACCTTCCTGCTGCCATTCCTGAGCAAGCTCTGCACTGCTGGTAGCCCGATCCCATGGCTGAAACACTTTTCAGAGACGGTCCTGGCGCTCGCTGGTCTTTCTTGGGTGCCCTGGAGCCTTTTTGGCAACAATGGAACCTCTCTCCTTGAAGTTCTTTATGATGCAATAGATTGTTGACTGAGATGCAATCTTTCTAGCTGCCGTTCTCTTTCCTGTTCGGCCATTTTTGTGCAGTGAAATGATGACTGCATGAGTTCCTTTAGACATTACCATGGTTCACAGCAGAGAAACAGTGATGCCAATTACCAGCCTCTTTTTAAAGTGTCCAGTGGTGTAATTCTTACTTAATCATGACAGATTGATCTCCAGCCCTGTCCTCATCACCACTCACACCTGTGTTAATGGAGCAATCACTGAAACAATGTTAGCTGGTCCTTTTAAGGCAGGGCTGCAATGACGTTGAAATGTGTTTTGGGGGATAAAGTTCATTTTCTTGGCAAATATTGACTTTGCAATTAATTGCTGTTACGCTGATCACTCTTTATTTCATTCTGGAGTGTATGCAATTGCCATTATAAAAATTGAAGCAGTAGACTCTGTAAATATTAACATTTGAAACATTTTCAAAACTTTTGGCCATGACTATAGGTGTTACTTTATTGTATGTCTTGTACCATGTCCGTTGGGAGTGCTGTTCTTTTTACATCTCTTTCCAGGTGATGAAGCAGACAAAATTTTTTATCATTATCTCACTTTTATCTCCTCTTTCTTAATTTTTTTCTATTTCTTTTCTGTTTCCCCTTTCCTGTTCTACTTATATTGCAGTATCCATATAACCTGTAAAACTATGCATGAATTATAATAAAGCAATATTTTATTATATGCATAAATCAAGGGGAACACTATGGCGATAGCCGTAGTGCTATTCTTATTGATCTACTATTCTTATTGCCATATCGCCAGACAGGACACTGTAAAAAAAAAAAAGTTAATTTCATTTCATTTCACTTAGTGTTTATTTGAAAGGGGACAGTGTACATTAATCAACATTAAAACAATGTAAATATACCCGAGTTAGCTAAGGAGTGCTAATTTTCATCGGTAGTCCCCCAGCCAGATATTAAAAAGGCAACCTTAAAAATAAACACAAGTATTAAATCATAAGATTAAATTACAATACCAATTACATAAAAAAACATTATGGTTAAGAAATAAAATTCATGTAAAATGATTAGAAATTAATTGTAAAATTATTTAAATACACACTAAAAACCTTAGTGCCCAAAAATATGGCTCTCTACAAGCCATTTTTTTTGCATTCTTTTTGAATGAAGAGAATGACAAAGAGTCTCTGATGGTTTATGGCGCTGTGTTCCATTGCTGAGATGCTCTTACGGAGAAAACAGCCTGACCAAAGGCTGTTTTTCTCTGGGGGATGATGCAGTCTTCCCTTACTGCCCCTCTGGTTACACTGACCTCACTGGATCTGAACTGTACAAAGTCACATAGTGGAGGTGGTGCTAAACCATGTCTGATTTTATAAATTAAACAGATGTTTTTGAACTTGATAAGATTGTTCCAGGTAAGTAACTGATATTTCCTCAGAATACTACAGTGGTGGTAATGGTATGTTTTTTTAATCCAGTATTTTCAATGCTTGTTTATATAATGTTTCTAATAATTTTATCGTGGTAGAGTGAGTATTGGACCAACCGTATGCCTGTGGAGCGCGATTTTCTCTGAAGTTTCCTAGCAATTTGTTTTCAGTTGCACAGCTCTGCGTTAAACCGAGGAGCCAGTTTTCCATTTTTAACATTTCTCATTTTCAAATGGGCTGCATTGTCTAAGGCAGTACACAGATAACTAGCAACCTCATCAACAAATTAATCGGAAAGAAAGTGAATCTGATTGTTTAAAATTTAATCTGATAATGATCTACTAAAACTGAACCTTCTTTTGGGGGAGGAGAACTCTGTTAAAGTAATCCTGAAGGTTATTAGAAAGTGGTCAGAGAGGACAGGGTTGTGAGGAAATACTTTTATTTCTTCACATTCTATGCCGTATGACAGCACAAGATCCAAAGTATGAAGATGAGAATGTGTGGGACTATTCACATTTTGAACAAAGCCAATAGTGTCTAAGATAGCATTAAAGGCTGCTCTTAAGCTATCACCTTCAATGCATGGATATTATATTCCCCCACTATGATGACCCTGTCAGTATTTAATACCAAATCAGAAAGGAACTCCAAAAACTCATCCAAAAATTTAGAGTAAGGACCTGGTCCCATTATCTATAGGTATTTTAACTCTGACCGATATGCACACCAAGCCTCTGGTGCTGATCTGGATAACTGGGCGGATCACACTCTAGATTGCTGATGTCTCAGTAAAATTAAATACTTTCTGCTAATACCTACAACCTTTCTCTCAGTGCTTAGAGAGAGCCATCTTCATCCTTTGCGAGGGTCTTTTGGTAACCATCCC